GAAAGATGGAGGGGAGGTTATGGCAGAGAAGAGGGGCGGGTATCACAAGGGGGAACCAGACTGTAAACCTCACATTTCCAAGCACAGTCTTCCCCAGAGCACAGTACTAAGGGCCAGCTCTACGGTGGTGCTTTGTAGGCTGTCAAGGACAGGACCTGGAGATGCTCATGTTCTGAAGAAAGCCTCATTCTGTAGCGAGAAGTGGATGTCCTGCTACTAGGATTAAAATGACAGCAAATTTTTCCCCCATCAAGCCAAAGAGAGATGTGTTTGTTCCTGTAGAAAGCATTATAAGAATTAGACTCCTCTGTGCCTCAGCAAGAAATGGGTCTGGGTAGATGTGAGATTCCAAATGTCAAGGTCCCTGGGGAGCAGTTCCGTGAAGCATGCATTGTTTCCTCACGTTGAACACGTTTCCTTGCATTGTTTAAGCACCTACGAGATTCACTGCAGAGGATCAGATGACATACCCACTACTGACAGAGCCCTCGCTGCCTGCCTCTCTGTCTCCCTACAAAGGGGCACATTTGCCCGTGCAGCTCCCGGCCCTCAGGAGTGCAGAAGCACCCCTACAGAAAGAGTCTATAAGGATGAACGACTTAACCTGCTGACATCTGGCTCTGATCTGAAGAAAGACATATGTAAATACCAAGGAATAGTAACAGTTCAGTGATTTCTCAGAGAACCAGGAAAGCATTAGGTTTCCCATGGGAAGACAAACTGAATGCCTGACACTGTACCTAGGATGATGTTAACATACAAGACAGAGGAGAAAACTTGATAATCTAACGATAAACCAACCTTGTTGGCAGAGTACAGCAGCCATCTGCGGTGAGTCTGACTTGAGTTTCGTAGCTATCCAGGGGACACACGGCCTGCTGAACAGAGGGGCATTCCACAGTGCTGCAGTCCACGCTGAAAACTGAAAGGGGGCAAACAGAGAGGAACCATTTACTGTTATATCTACTTGCATTTTGGTGTTCCAAAATGAAATACTAGCTCTTGCCAAATTTCCAAAGTTCCCTTGCTTCCCAGGAACCCAGTCCTAGGGCTGGCATTTTTATTTCTGTCAATGTCGGAGAATGGCAACATGTCCCACAGTTTCTGTGCAAGGAAAGAGGTGGGGACATGACATTTGAGAGTTAAGATGAAGACAGAGAGAGAGCATTAAACTAATGATGGTAACATGGATGGTGATAGTCAGCCAGAGGAGTTCCGATAGGACAGTTCAAGAGACGGGCAAAAGACTGTTTTGCTTGAAGCGTTTATCTAGCAGTAAAAAGAAAAAAAAAATACCACAACCGACTGCTGGTTAGAAACTTGCAAAGAGGCAATCTCTACAGCCCAGATGTGTTCATAAACCACATTAGAAAGGCTGCCCCAAGAACGAGGATGTTAAATAATATGAAGCAAGAAACAGCTGGGATACGACAACAAATCAAATATTGGCGGAAGAAGGTGAGTAAATAGTCAAAGATGACTTAGCACATGCTGTAAAGTCAAGGGGATGAGTGGTGGGGAACTGGCAAGGAGAAAGATTGGGGCTGAGTATTTCACTATAAAACTTCAGGCATTTTGACACATATATTTATCTAAAATAACTTTCTATTTTATGTATGATGATTGCTTTTAAATGTAATACCTTAAAGTGAAAGATACATCTGCAAATGAGGGCTCTGACCTTCCCTGGGGGAATGAAACATGTAGTCATTTGCCATATATTTTAACCCCACCACCCCCCATCAAGGATACTTAGGAGGAAAAAAAGAAAAGAGCAAAGACACGTGCTCTCCCTGAAGGTGCTTATGTACCAGTGGATCATCACTCTGGTTCTCTGAACAGAAGGCCAGAAGTCAGGCTCCCATTAGCCCGAAGTGGCAGATTGGCAGTGTACTGGTGAGAAAGTCCATCTGTATGAAAGGAGAGGCCAGTAGCTGAGGAGGGACCTGCAGCCCTCTGATGCAAAGGAGCTGGGCTGCTGAGACAAAGCTTGTGCATACCTGGTTTGCACTCATACAGGTCACAGCACTCTCCCGGCTTCCCTGAGGCTTTGGACACTAGTATGTTCAGGTATCCCGGCTGGCAGACTTTGCGCAGACAGCCTGCAGGGTCGCACACGCAGCGGCTGGGTAAGGGGCAGCACTCCCCTGGAGGAGCATAACCCTCGATCAGAACGGAATCTTCAGGACAACGTGGAGAGAACTGGACTTCACAGCGGGCCTTGGAGCAATCTGGCTTCTCTTCTAAATGGGAGAGAAAGAATTTAGCTCATGCCCAGGGCAGTGTGGGGCACGTCTGTCAGAAGCACAGACTGTCCTGATGATCTCTGTTTACTAACCAAAGAGGAGAGCAGAGAAAGAAATCTGGGGAAAACCCTCGAACTTACTTTAGCCAGCCATGAAAATCTTCCTCAAGATCTGCCCAAGACACCGAAATATGAGCCTGATGTTCCCTTCTTCTCTGTCTCTCTACTCACTGGTGTTGAACAGTCAACATCTGGTGCAGTGACCAAAATGACAAAGGGCAAAGGGAAGATGCATTCATGGCATAAAGACTCTGAAAACTGGACTGAGTCGCTGACTAACTGAAAAGATCTTTGAATTCAGAAGAGTTTTAAGGGCTTTTCTTTGAAAACAGTGTACTTATAAACACCAAAATAGACACCGACAAATAAATCATAGCTTCTTCAGGAACTGGAGAAAACATGTGTGATAATCAACGTAGAAGAACTAACCCTACCTCTAAACTCCAATGAGATGAACTTATTAAGATTATATGGTTCTACAATGTGGCAACTTAGCAAGATAGATAATGAGCCAAATTCCTGTGTAATTTCCCTCAATGACACCTGGCATGTTTCTCTCTCTCTCTAGCAGAGATCCATTAAATGTACCTCATTCCCCTTTCTGCAGTATTATCTGCTCACCTATTGCTGCACCTCAACTTTAGCGATAGGAAAAATAAATTAAGGTGGGTATTACCTAATGACTTTAGGACTGGGTAGCAAAGCCCTAGCTCTGGAGCCCAAATCCACAGCTCAGTTTCTTCGTGTAAGCTTTTAAGAAAACTACAACAATGTAAGGTACTTGAAGAAAGGACTGAAATAAACCAAAAGTATATCATCACACCCCATGACCTTTGGGGAGGAGTTCAGAAAACACTGGGTGAAAATGATGCCA